TACATTTAAGTCCAGAGCTTCATTAAGTCACTGTTAAGTTTAAACAGTAGGACCCTAACCTATTCTGTAGTCCTGCCATCTGGGGAACACCTGGAACCTTTCTGTAACTGGTTCAATGTCAATATTTTTAAGGTAAGCACAGAACACTTGCAATATGCCTAGGGCTAGAATGAAATCTGGCTTTGTAATATTCACTTAGCCACTCACTTAGTTTAGTTGTATGGCCACTGATAAGTTGCTTTACCTTGACTTTTAACCTTGAGTTTTAATAGTCTCACCTTCCAGATCATTAAATAAACTCTGCCACACAGTTTTTGTAGCATTCATCAATTCCTGGCACCCATTTAATAAGTGGAGATTTTTTTTCTTTGTTCAATAAAACTCTTATGGAGCTTATATTCTAGTTGGAAAATACACATTACAAGGTAAAAAAAAATTCAAGCAGCAATAAGAGTAATGATAAATAGAAGGGAATGGGATATAGGAGGTTATTTTAGGTAGGGTAGTCTAGGAATACCTCTCTGAGGAGCTGAGATTTCAGCAAAGAACTAGCTATAAAGATTTGAGGAAAGGAAGGCTGTTTGTGGCAGAGGGATGCAGATTGTAGTATTTGAGGAACAGAAAGACCAGTGCGTGGGGAGTGATAGGGGATGAATTATGAGAAGTAAGCAAGTTCCAGATCATGTAAGTCTTGTTTACATACACAAAGAGTTTAGATTTATTTTGTGTTATGAGTTGTGAGCACAAGAGTGTGATCTGATTTATATTTTAAATAGCATGGACATATCATTCTGGCTGCTATGTGGAAACAGTAGGAGGCAAAAGTAGAAACTGAGAGTCTAGGTTACAAGGCTATTTCAGTAGTCTAGGCAAAGTCTGACTGGCTTAGATTAGGGTGGTTAGTAGTGGATGAGAATATATAATAGTGAGAAATGGTTTGATTTAGGGTACATGAGATGAAGGAGCCATCAAGACTTGCTAATTAATTGTATTTGAGGGGTAATAGCAAGGGAGGAATCAAGAGTGACTTAGTGTAGGCTGTTTGGTGTGAGCACCTGGATTTACTAAGTGGTGCCATTAACTAAGATGAGATAATGAGGAAGGAACAAGTTTGGAGGGGGTAACAAAGTCAAGAGTTCTGTTTTAAACTTACTTATTCCAAGAACTTTTGGCATCCATGTAGAGTTATAGGATAAGGCAGTTGGAAATACGAGCATGAAACTCAGGGCAGAGGTTTGGGTTGCACATAAACTGGCAGTCATTATTTGACAGGAAGAGTCAGGACCATGAAATGACCAGGCACTGAGGTACTACCTGGGGGTTAGAATTTCTTACCTACCTGTCCTTTTTCTTGCAAGCACCCCCAAGCCATTCATTGTTTAATTTGAGACCTTCAAATGATCATTTTTCTTCTTTTCTTCCTGCTTTCATAAATTCATGACTTCAACTCTTTTATCAAGGAAGAGACCGTATGGAAGGACTGGGAGATTAAAGATTTGAAGGTATTAATGTGATGATTAATGTAGGCTCTGGAAACAGAGGAATTGGGTTTAAGTCCTGTCTCTTGGATATTGTACTTAGTAAAATTATAACCTTGGATATTTTACTTAATTTCTCTAACCTCAGTCTTTTCATCTATAATATTAAAAATAATAGCCACCTGGCTGGTATGCCTCAGTGGTTGAACATCAACCCATGCGCCCAGAGGTAGCCAGTTCAATTCCTGGTCAGGGCACATGCCCAGGTTGTGAGCCAAATCCCAGTTTCAGGGCAAGCAGGAGGTGGCTGATCAATGTTCTCTCTCATTGATGTTTCTGTCTCTCCCTCTCCCTTCCTCTCTCTCTAAAGATCAATGAAGAAAAAAAAGTTTTTTTTAATAAAAATAGCCAGCATTTATCTAATACTATATACTAGGCAGAATTTCAAGTCTTTCATAAGTATTAATCCTTAGAACAACCCACTGAGGTAGTTACTTTCTTACTGTTGAGGAAACTAAAGCCAGAGAGAGGTTTTGTAATTTACAAGTTACACAGCAGGTTAAGTGTCAGAGCTAGATTTGAATGAAAGCAACCTGGCTCCAGAACCAGGGCTACTTTTCTTGTATCTAATTCACAGAGTTGTAGTAGTGATTAAATGAGATAACCCTCTTAAAGTGCTTACTTAGCACATGGAGCCTGAAACATAATATGTACGTAATCAGTGTTTCCTTTGGGAGGCAGCACAGTATAGTGAAAGGACCAGAGGAAAAGTCCTAGGGCTCCAGCCTGACTCTGACAGCAACTTACATGACCATGAACAAGTTTCCTAGCCTCTTTGGACTTCAGTTTTATCCTCTAAATATAAAATGAGTTTTGAGCAGGGATGGGAGTTGAAGAATAAGGCATTTGGTAATTCCTTGGGTGGGTAACATTTCTGCTTTGCCCTTCTACTCTTAAAGAAGCTTGCTAGGAGGTAGTGAAACATGTTAGTTAGAACCATGAGGTCTGAGTAAAGCCATCATATATTGAGTCTGCCTCCACCACTTACTTCCTTGGACAAGCCACTTCTCTTGAGTTTCTGTTTTATCTGCAAATTAGGGAGAATAATAGTGAATACCTCATGGTACTCTTTCAAAAATCGATTAAGAAATTGCAGTAAAATATTTAATACATTATAAGCATTCAATACATATTAGCTATTAGAATATTATTCTGTGTTCCCAAAGCTGAGAGGATTTTTTTTAGTTCTTCAAATTCCAGATGAGATAGAAGCCCCTTAGTAACCTGTTCCTAAAAAATGGAAATGGGTGTTACATGGCGAGGCACTCTAGTTGTTTGGAACCAAGGGCCTGAATCTGAATTGTTTAATTGTGTGGGCATTCTTTCCTACTCCTCTCTTTACCAAGGTGTAGGGAGCATTGTTCTAGAACAGTTGTGCCTTGCTTTGCCTTATCCACAGGTGTATTGAACCACTCATGGCAAATCTGCTCTAGTTTGACTTGCTTCAACCCTTCCCTGACCTAAGGAGAGTTGTTTTTCCCCCACATAGACTGGGCTCGAACCTGAATTTCTGCAAAAATTTAATTTTTTTTCTTTTTACTATGATCAAAGGAAGAATAGTAATCAAGACTCTTTGGGCAATGAGTGCAAAAACCCAACTCAAAGCAGTTAGAGGATGGGAAAGGAGGAGACTGGAATTACTGACTCATATAGTGGAGAAGTCTAAGTCTAAGGAAGAAGTATGCCTGGACACAGAATTTTAAACACTCTAATGTCTCTCCATAGCTTGTTCTACCTGGGCTTTATTCTCGGTTTTGTTCTTCATGTAGCAATACCAAATCTACAAACATCTTTCCAGCCATGATCTCAGAGAAAGAAAGACTCCCTCCTCCAATATGCATGTTATTATCAGAAAATAGTTGACCCAGTTTGGATATACATGCACACTCTTGGTCTGGGGGAATCTAATGCTCTTAAATGGCATTATTTTCTATTTCATGATCAGGCAGGTAGAGCCATATGGCAGACATTCCCAACAAATCACATAAGATTAGGATGGGGTTTTTACCAAGAAGAAAACAAAGCTAGACAAGCAAAAAAGTGAGTGATGGCAGTTTTAGGTTGACAGGAGCATCCATATTGCTGTCGCCATTGTTGATGTGAATGAGCTATCCCAAGAACCCTGCCTTGGGAAATTTGGCTTAGCCTAGCCAGCTTTGAGACCAAAACTTTTAAGTCATATAGAATGGTAACTCTTCTTAGTTCCATTTTCTTCTCTCTTCTCACCTCTTCCCCATTAATTTAATTATAGTTATTAACATTTAATTCTAAAAGCTGATTCTTTATCATTTCATCTACACACTGATAGTTCAACATAGTGGTTGGGCCGGGGGCTCAAGGGTCAAATTGCCTGGATTTCAATCCTGTCTTTATCATTTGCTCACTCAGAAGTTGTAAGAAGTTTACTTTATACCTCTTTTCTCATCTACCTCACTGGGTTTTCTTGAGGATTAGATAGTTGGTGGAAAGTGATTGGCACAGTGTCTAGCACACAATAAATAGTTCAGTATTATTAGATTCTATTGTAATTTCCAGCTCTGCAGCTTTGGTGCAGTCTATCAGTTCTTTTGTCAGGAATGGGAAAGCTGAGGTAGATTGGGAGACTATCAAAAAACACTAGATTTTGGTAACTCAGGAGAAGGGTTGAAGCCAAATTGAAAGAAGTACTTGGAGTGTCTTTCCACTAATTGGAAGTCCTAACTATAATAACGATCTTATTTTTGCAATTTATTAGTTAAATGGTACATTTTTACTGACTTTTGCTTACTGAATGACAATGGACATTTAACCTCTTCAGGCTTTTTGGGTTTTTTTGTAAAATTAATATTTTTGGATTGGATGATCCCTTTCATCTTTATCATTGCCTGATCCTTAGTTGTTTAAGTAAAAATGAATATCACAAAGTGTTTTGTACTTGGTGTGTATGTGTATGTGTGTGAAAGAAAAGTGAGAGAGCAAGAGAGAGGGAGATAGTGAGTTAGCTTATATTGAGATAAATCTGAAAGATTTACTTTTATATTGGGTTTATCAGTTGACGTTTGGTTTCTTCTTAAGAGATTATTAAGAAGAATAACTTTCACACTCTACTATCTAGGCCATTTCTAAGTATTTGCTAAGTTTATCTCTTTTGGATTTTTCAAGGAAAACTTTTTAGACACTATGATATATAATCTGTAATACTTGTCTTGGAGTCAGGACACTTGGTTGGGGACTTTTTTCCACTACTTACTTTGTAACATTACACTTGGGCAAGTTACATTCCCTCTGTGTGCCTCATTTCCGCATCTGTCTAATGAGGCATTTCTTCTATTTAACCTTTAAGTCCTTTCCTAACAATCTATGATTCTGTAACTTATCACAGTATAGGTTATGGAGGAGTAGCTGGATTCCAAAGGGAAAACTTGATATTGCCATTTCCTTTGAAACATATTTTTTATCTGTTGCCTATTATGTTTGTTGCAGGATTTCGGCTGAATGCCTCCTCTTGGCCCATGTTCCTCTTGAAGACACTAAATGGAGCAGAAATGGCTCCCATCAGGATTTTCCACAAGGTATGGAGTTCCTCAGATATCACCAGCTCCAAACTGCTTAATGCCCAGTGCTTACATTCTTTCAATTACTGAGCCTCTGATGTCTATATTATATTTATGCCTGAGCATGCCTTCTCAGAAATTAATTCAGCATAAGGACTGTTTAGTATCTTATGAAGCAGCAATTATCTCCAGAGGAATATTAGACCATAAATTATAATTCCTGGTCTTGGGGTCCTAGCTCTACCAACAATAAGCTATGTCTTTTGACTTCATGTTTAACGTGGGATTCTGTCTTCCTCACAGGGTAATTAAGTTAAAATGTGTTCACTAATAAAACATATAAAATGTGGTATATATCTAAAGGAGCTATTCTTGTTGTACATCTTAGCGTTCTGTAAGGTTCATATGCTAAACAGAGAGAAAGGAGACAATTTTTGAGTGCCTACAGTATGCTACGAGTTTATATACACTATCTCACCTAATACCCACAGTTAACTTTCTGAAACAAGAATTATTGTTTCCTTTTAATGGTTAAGGAAAAAAATACTTTGAAAAAGGAACTTTCCCAAGATCACATGGCTAGTAAGTGGTAGAACAGGGATCCAAAACCTGTATTCATTCTTCCTTATTTCTCAAAAGACGAGGCACTCAGTCTGCACTCAGTTGAACTCTTTACTGAAGTTCTATCTTGTTCATCAGTTTATTTTGTTCATTAGATTCCACATATAAGTGAGATCATGTGATACTTGTCTTTCTCTGAGTGACAAATCTCAGAGGGAAGGGAAGAGAGGGGGTCTGGAAGACATTAACCAAAGAACTTATATGCATATATGCATAACCCCTGGACACAGACAATAGTGTGGTGAAGGCCTAGTGTGGGAGCAGGGTAGAGGGGGTCAGTGGGGGAAAGAGAGGGGGACATCTGTAATAAAGATAAAATTTTTTTAATTCTTTAATGAGGTTAGGGTTATAAAGGGGACTAAGTTAGTGTTGCCTATGCTGCTATTAAAGTCTAAACCCTCAGCTCACTGGCTCCCAGAATATAGTGTACTGGGCAATTAAAAAACCCTTTCACTATAGAATATCTCAAAATGTTTGTGGGGGCATTTTAAATGCTTTACTGAGCTTACTAAAAAGTAAGGAAACTCTAGCGGCTAAAATGAAGAAGGAAAACTAGAGTGTTATGTCCATACACTAAACCCGCAGGTATTTTAAGGGTCTTTGCCAGTCTTACTTTCTAAGACTCTTGTCTTTTAACAGCCACAGTAGGATAGAAGATGAGGCCTTGGGCCCAGGCAAGCCAGGGAATAGACCCGAGTCTGCCATATACAAAACCAGATCAGACACCTACAATGTTTACTCCTTAGTAAAAAGACTGTTACATTGATGAGGAGAGTCTCTGCCTTGGCTTTGGGTGGGAGCAGGAATGGAGTTATTTCCTTGATAAAACAATCTTTCCTCCATGGAGTCCAGGGTTCAGATATGGTACCTGTGTTATCTAGAAGCTCGCAAGTTGTGTGGAAATATTTCCGAGTGTCTGGCAGAAGTAAACCCACAATCTCTTCGGGTTGCTTTCAACCCGGATGTCATAGAAGTCTCCAAAGTGAAGTACCACTGAAGATGAGTACTCACTTCAGAATTGCAGAGCCCTCAAAAACTCTCAAAACAAATCCAACATGGTGGGACATTAGTAGACACAACAAACAGTACAACTGTAACCCCAAGGACTTTCAGATAATATAAATATCAGATAGAGATTATAAATTAAGTTTCTGAAAATGATTAAAGAATGAAAAGAAATTTTTAAAATGATAAAAGTATAAAACACTATTTTTAAAACACAGATTTGAGAAAAAAAATTGAACATCTGTAAATGAAACAATCATTAAAATAAAAAATTAATAGGTAGGTGTATAAGCAACTTAGACATAGATAAAGGATAGTTAGCTGAAAGACATGTAAGGAATTTCCCCAGAATGTAACACAAAGAGATAGAGAAATAGAAAATATTAAAGAGAATAGACAGAATAATATTAGAAGGTCCAATAATACTAAGATGGAATCCAGAAATAATAAATAAGAAAGAATAGAGAAGTGTCAATATTTGAAAAGATAATGACAGAATCTCCCAGAGTGTATAATAAAGATAAATATACACCTTAAAACATCATGGTATAACTAAAGTCAAAAGAAAAGAACACCTTCCAAAGAATTGCATTTAGGCTGACAGCACATTTCTTGACAGGATCAGTTAAAGCCAAAGATAATAGAATAATGTCTCCAAAGCTCTTAGAAAAAAATAGTTGTCCACCTAGAATTTTATAGCTAGTTAGACTATTATTTCAGAATAAATGTAAAATCAAGACATTTTCAAACAAACTTATGTAAGTATATGCTAACATATCTGCTGAAAGAACAACTGAAGAATATATTTCAGGAAGAAGATCATTGAACCCAGAAAGCAAGAAATGAGATGCAAGAAATAGTGGTGAAGAAAGACTGTGAGTGAGCACTGCCAGAAAGAGTATACAATGTTACAACCACTTTGGAGAGTAGTTTAACAATATTTAATAAAGCAGATGTCTATCCTATAACCCAGTCATTTTACTCCTAGGTATATATCCTAAATAAACCTTCTCACATGTGTATAAAGGAACAAGTACAAGAATGGTCATTAAAACTCTTGAAATAGTAAACAGTTGGAAAAACCTTAAATGTCAATCAAAACAATGAATAAATTGTGATATATACATATAAAGGAGCACTACTGAAGCAAAGATGTTACAATGTTAAGATTAACAGAGTAATACTTCAGTATTTTTTTTTAATTCATTTAAAAGAAAGATTAAATCTCCATTATAAATCTTACATAGCAATCCCTTTTTGTGTGTGTTAATCCTCACCTGAGTATATTTTTCCATTAATTTTTAGATAGGGAGGGAGGGAGGGACGGAGGGAGGGAGGGAGAGAGAGAGAGAGAGAGAGAGAGAGAGAGAGAGAAAGAAAGAGAAACATCTATGTGAGAGAGACACATAGATTGGCTGCCTCCTGAGTGAACCAGACCAGGGCCAGGGATCAAACCTGCAACCTCGATATGTGCCCTTAACTGAGAATCGAACCTCAACCCTTTGGTCCAAGGGCCGGCACTCTAACCACTAAGCCAAACTGGCCAGGGCAGCAGTCCCTTTTTAATCATCCAAATAAGGTAGCAATCTTTTGGGATACATGGCCTCTCTCTTTGTGTCTAGGTCTATATATTTCTGTTTCTCCTCTAGGAACCACCTTCGCCTTCTCACAACTTCTTCAAAATGGGAATGAAGCTAGAAGCCGTGGACAGGAAAAACCCCCATTTCATTTGCCCAGCCACTGTTGGGGAGGTGCGGGGCTCAGAGGTGCTTGTCACTTTTGATGGGTGGCGAGGGGCCTTTGACTACTGGTGCCGCTTCGACTCCCGAGACATCTTCCCTGTGGGCTGGTGCTCACTGACTGGAGACAACCTACAGCCACCTGGCACTAAAGGTAAGGGTCCATCTATGAGCTTTGGAATCAGGGCCCAAATTGATGATGGCAATTACCTAGATCTCTCATGGTCACCATGTCTCCACCAATAAACCTCACTAGTAGGCAGAGGAGGAGCTAGGGCTAGCAACTTAGGTAAAAACCAAGCCTACTCGAGAGTAATCAGAAACAGAAGAATAAAATGTCAAATGAAGATAGGCATGGAGTTTGTGATAAAGTAAAAGTTTGTTACTCTAAATATTTGGATTTATTCAGGCAGCTAACTTCTCATCTCTCTTTCTTTTGTTCCTAACCCATTTCAGAGTTTGAGTGGTGTCATTCTCAAGGTGTGCATCTTCTGCAGGTCTTAGGCACTTCTATATGAGTTGGAGTAGTACTGTGCTGTAAAAATACTTGACAAGCACTGTAGCAGAATGGAAAAGGCATGAGCTTTGAAGAAAAATAGACTTAGGTTTGCCCTGGCCGGTTTGGCTCAGCGGTTGGAGTATCGGCCTGCGGACCAGAGAGTCCTGGGTTCAGTTCCTGCTAGGGGCACATACCCAAAAAAAAGAAAAATAGACTTAGGTTTGAGTTCCAGCTCTGGTTTGTTGTTGTTATTGTTTTTTAACCATCACCTGAGGACACTTTTGCATTCATCTTCAGACAGAGCAGGAGGGAGAGAGAGAGGAAGAGAGAGAGAAACATCCATGTGAGAGAGACACATCGACTGGTTGCCACCCACACAACCCCAACTGGGGCCGGGGACAAACTGCAACCGAGGTATGCAGTTTCGGTCCCTTAGGTTCGGTCCCTAAGCAGGAACCGAACCCAGGTCTCTCTGGTCTGCGGGCCAACGCTCTAACCGCTGAGCCAAACTGGCCAGGGCCCAGCTCTGGTTTTTACCAGCTGTGTGGCTTTGGTCAGTTAGTTCACCTCTCTAAACCTCAAATTCCTCATCTGTAAAAGGATACCTACTTTGTAAAGTTATTGTGAGAAATAAATAAGATTACATGAGTAAATTACTTACATAATATCTGGCAAATAGCAAGTGCTAAACAAATGTTTTTATTGTATTATTGTTGCTTTTAATACAGGTATTATATACTATACTTATAATTATGCTATATTATTACTCTATCATAATATGCTATATTACCATTATTATAATACTATGATTATAAAAATAACCACTACCAACTACCAATGAGAAAATATATACAAAGTGCTAGAATAGTACCACATAGTAATTGAATAGTAAATGACATTTCTAATGATGATAATGTTGGAGATTATCGAGGATGGAGTTTGAGATAACTGCTCTTAATAAAGAAATAATATGAATCTCATCCCCTTCAGTCTAAAAGTAGTGATGAATCTGAGGAAATAGAAAGTCATTCTTCCTATTGTCTGTGGATCTCTTCTAAATCTTTATTGAATTAATTCATTGAATTGGCCTAATATTTATTGAGCACCTAATTTTGAACCAAGCTGAGGATATAGCAGTTACAAAGATGAACACATTCCTGCCCTCATGGCACTTTCATTCTATTGGGATGAGACAGTAAACATTTAAATCAAGAAATAAACAAGGTGAGTCCTGGCCGGTTTGGCTCAGCGGTTAGAGCATCCGCCTGCGGTCCGGAGAGACCCGGGTTCGGTTCCCGCTAAGGGCACGTACCTCGGTTGCAGTTTGTCCCCGGCCCTGGTTGGTCGTGCGGGTGGCAGCCACTCGATGTGTCCCTTTCACATCAATGTTTCCCTCTCTCTCTCTCTTCCTCTCTCTCCCTCCCACTCTATCTGTACAAAAAATGGAAAAATGTCCTCGGGTGAGGATAAAAAAAAAAAAAAAAAAAAAAGAAATAAACAAGGTGAGTCCTGGCCAGTGTAGTTGAGCATCATCCCATGCACAGAAAGTTTGCTGGTTCAATTCCTGATCAGGGAACATACCTGGATTACAGGTTCAATCCCCAGTCAGGGTGTATACAGGAGGCAACTGATTGATGTTTCTCTCTATTTCCCTCTCCTTTCCTCTCTCCGTAAAATCAGTTCTTAAAAAATAAAATAAAATAAACAGCCCAGCCGGTGTGGCTCAGTGGATTGAGCATTGTCCCATGGACTGGGAGGTCTCAGTTCGATTCCCGGTCAGGGCACACGCCCAGGTTGCGGGTTTGGTCCCCAGTAGGGGGTGTGCAGGGGGCAGCCAATGGATGTTTCTCTCTCACATTAGTGTTTCTATTTCTCTCTCCCTTCCTTTCTCTCTAAAATATTCAATAAAGATATATTTAAATAAAAAACAAAGTGATTTCAGATATATAATTTCCCCTAAGGAAATAAAGTATCATAAGATTGTGACAGTGAAAGTGTGATTTTGAAGGAAGTTTTTTGTTTAACAACTTCATTGAAGTATAAAGTAAAATAAGTGGCAGGTATTTAAAGTATACAGTTAGAAAAATTTGACACATGTATGCATCCATGAAACTGTTACTACAGTCAAGAAAATGAGTATATCCATCCTCCTCCAAAATTTCCTTATTCCTCTTTGTGGAGGGAGAGCTTCTTTAGATACAGTGTCTCTTAAAGAAAATTTGTCTGAAAAGTTGATGTTTGAATTGAATGATGCGAAGGAGCCATGGAAGCGGGGTACAGACTGACAATCCCCTAAAGAGGGGGGTGGAGATAAACCACAGAACTTATATGCATGTATGCATGAACAGTGGACATGGACAACAATCTGGGGAAAGGGCAGGGAGGGAGGGGGAGGAAGGAATCAGTGGGGGAAAAGGGAGAAACATCTGTAACAAAAATTAATTAATAAAATAAATAAATAAGTAAATAAATAAATAAAGGAAAGAGAATTCCAAGCAAGCAGATCCACTCATGGGTATATGTCCAAGACAATAGAAAACATCTGTTCACACGAAAGTATATGCTGAGGCATACATACCAGTCAGTGGTGCTGAGAATGGCTTCTCCAACACAGTGCACTGTGCGGGGAGAGTGGCACAACTGAAACAGGACCTTGTAAGCCAGAGTGGGAATTTAGGTTTTATTATAAACATAGCAAGGAATCATTAGAGGATACTATATAGGGGTATGACAAATGCTGATTTTTTTAAAAATCACTTGCACTTATATACTGAATACAAAGGAAAATTTACAGCTCAACAATTAAAAAGGCAAATAATCCACTTAAAAATGGGTAAAGGGTTTGAATATACTTTTCTCCCAAAATATACAAATGGCCAATAAGCACTTGAAAAGATTCTCAACATTAGTCAATAGGGAAATGCAAGTCAAAGCCACAATGAGCTACCACGTCACACCCATGGGTATGGCTATAATCAAAATGTGGAGAAATTGGAACTCTTGTACATTGCTAGTAAGACTGTAAAATACTACAGTCACTTTTGAAGCAGTTTGGAAGTTACTCAAAATATTAAATATAGAGTTACCTGAGATCCAGCAGTTCCACTCATGGGTATATACCAAAGAGAATAGAAAACATGTGTCCACACAAAAATATATTTTGAGTGTTCAAGGCAGCATTATTTATAATAGCCAAAAAATTAAAATAACCCAAATATTTATCCTTTGATGAATAGATAAATAAAATGTAGTATATCCATATGAAATAGTATTTTGCAGTAAAAAGGAATGAAGTACTTATATATACTACAACATACATTCCATTTATATGAAATGTCCAGAATAGGTAAAAACAGAGAGACAAAAATAGATTAATGGTTGTCCGGGGCTCCCGGGGAAGGAGAATGACTAATAATATGGGGTTTCTTTTTGAGGTGATGAATATGTTCTAAAATTAAATAGGGGTAATGTTTGCACAACTCTGAATTATACAATTTAAAGGGTGAGTTTTTTTAAGAGTGAGTTTTATGGTGCATGAATTATATGTCAATAAGGCTATTATTTAAAAAATCACTTGGGTTGCTCTGTGGGGAATGGGTTGTGCTGTGGTATGTATGGATAAGAGACAAGGGTGGCTTGGACTAGGTTAGTGGCACAGAGGTGGAAGGGACTTGAGATGAGGAGTGGGGGGAATGAGACACATATCTTGTATCAGGAATGTGCCACTACTCCTCTATATGCTTCAAGAAGCAAGTGCCCTGGAGTTGATATGAGAAATCCATTGCCATCCCTCTGCAGGCCTTGCAAGAGATCTCTGTGGAAGCAGCAAGAAGAGAAGTGCCTTGGAAGTGATGGTGGAGCCATTTTTGTTTACTTGAGACTAAAACAAGCCTTGTTGATCTAGGCTACATTCAGTTAGGTTTATCTTCTCACTTTCTTGCCTAGAGAACTCTGTTATGTTGATCGATAAATCTCTTACAGCAGTTAGACATTTCTCAAGCCAGAAAAGCTGAGTCTTTCTGTCCAAGAATTGCTGGACATGCATTCCTTTCTGACTGCACATGCTGATAAGCAATATGATTCACTATGTGGTTGATGCTTCCAGAGGTATTTGCTGACTGTTTTCTTCTCCAGTTCTCTGTGTCTCTGGAGAGCTTAGATTTTAACAAAGATGACCAGAAGGACCAGGCTCAGAAGGTAGAGAGAGACCTTTTTGCACTTGGCATTTCCAGACCAGGTCCTTCAGTCATCATTCCAGCAGCCAAGTTGTTTCCTCCAACACTCTCTCCTTCCCCACCCCAGGCCCTCAGTAGTTCTGTAATGTAACTTTCAGTAATAGCAGAACTTCAGCCATCTCAGTGTCCTGGCCAAGGATCAAGTGATACAATGTGGAAAAAATGTGGTTACTCAATTCATTTCACAAAACAAGATGTTCTCTGTATATGTAAGCCTGATCTCCTTCTAATCATACGATCTCCTCCTCCTTTTCTACCTTCTGGTCATTAGTGTGCAAATGTGAAAAAATTGAAAGCAGTATGAGATTGTTTTTTTGCTTGCATTAGGTAGGATAAAATACCAATATTTAATGTTATTTTACACATGTTATTTCATTTTATCATCCTGGTAACCCTGAACTAGATGTAATTATTTTCAGA